TTCTCCCTAGATTGATGAGCTTATGTCTCTTGGATAAGCCAAAATCACTGTCTCCATCAGATACCCAACCATGGATTGCCCAGCACTGCCAAATGTTCCCCTGTGGCAGTTGCATTGCTCTCAGACTCACACACTGGGCATAGCCCAGGTCTGGCAGAGATGAACTAACTATGCTGCTCTGCCAACCCCACCTTCCCAGGACTTTCACCTTTGAAAGTTGGGTTTCAGTAGAGTTAGGTGCAGGGCATGCAGTACGGATTAGGGTTTTTTTTGGGGGGGGTCATACCTGGCAATACACAGGGGTTACTCATGGCTCTGCACTCAGGAATTACTCCTGGTGGTGCTCAGGGGACCATGTGGGATGCTGGGAATCGAACCCAGATCAGCTGCATGCAAGGCAAAAGCCCTATCTGCTGTGCTATTGCTCCAGCCCCGGATTAGGATTTGTTGATTGAATGTATGAAGATACTGTGTGGGCTGTTTCATCCTGACTGGGTTACGTCAAATCTGACCAAAGAGCAGGAGGCAAGGCTGCCAAGAAAGAATACCACTGATGATTTCTGATACATCAGTGCCCTCTTGTTGGGCTAAGAACAGGTCTTATTTTTATGGTGGATTTTGAGCTTCCTAGTATGCTTGTTTCGGGAGTGTCTTATAGGACTGGAGCTTCTAGCTTCTGTTTTCCATTTTATAAAATTAATGATCTTTGCAGCGCCAAGGATTGGATCCAGGGCCTTACATGTGCAAAGCAAATGTTCTACTACTGAGTCGTCACACTGCCTTGTCTCCCAGAGCTGGGGCTTCTGATCAGAAAAAGATTGCCCCCACCTGCCAAGCCCAAGAGCTAGGAAGGCCCAGTCTGAGGCTGGTGTGAGGCCTGGTGTTGATTTCACTGAGAAGTGCTGAGCCTTTAGAGAGATGGCTGACTACTGGGGGTGCAATGGAACAGGACGCCTGAGAGCCAGCCCAGGGACCACTTCTGAGCAACCTGTGGCTTTGCATGTAGCCAACCTGGAATTGATCCCCAGCATCCCATATGGTACCCCAAGCACTGCCAGAAGTGATCCTAAGTGTAGAGCCAGGAGTAATCCCCGGGCATCACCTGGTGTGGTCCCCAAACAAATAAAAAAAAAATCTTGTGGCCTCTGCAAGCCATGTCATTGCTCATTGTCTCCTTCCTGATTATGAAAACGAAAGGAGTGAATGCTTGAAAGGCCTTTGCACAGCACAGATTCTAATAGGTCAATGAATTGTGCCCTTCGCAACCTCCTTTCAAATGCCCACAGGCTTCCCAGGCTAGGAACAGTCCTGCACAGGAAGTCCTCATCCCAGTGCAGACCACTCTAGTGGCCAGACTACTTCTGATGCTCCTTATGGCGTTCTAGTGTCCATGCCATGATGCCCGCAAGTCTGCTCCTTGGCACTGGAGGCTGACAGTCATCATCTTCTTTAGCATTTGCCACCTCCTGAAGCCTCAGCCCCAGCCAACACCTGATTTCTGTCTCGGGTGGGTTTTGGGCCCTCTCTGTGTCCCCAGCATGGCACTGGGCCCTTAGTGGACCCAGTGGATAGGTGTTGGTTGATGGGATGAGTGGGTGGGGAGTGTCTAGGTTTCCAGAAAGACTTCACACTGATAGACACAGCAGAGCTAGACTCAGGCTTATGAAAACAGAAGAGGAAGGGAGCTGGAAGGCTGATGGTTGGTTTCTCAGTCCTGTTCACAGGGCCAGGAGCGTTGGGGCTGCCTCATCTATGTTCCAGGGATCTGGGGCATATTGTACCCTGGCCATGTGCTCTGAGTGTTCACTGCTTGACCTTTCTCACGAAACAGATGTGCCTTGAAAGAAAGGCCTCCAGCACTACGGAAGGCTGTTTTCTGGAAGTCAGCCAGGGCTAGAACATTAATGTCCTCAATTTCCTTCAGAAATAGGAATGAGGAGGGTCTGTATCTGATTTCTCTCATTCCTCACAAAATAATTAGCATTTTTTGATAGATCAAATTGTATTGATTTAAGATTGGTTTGCAATACTTTGTGGATTTCAGGAGTCCAGCTTTAGAGCCCTATCTGTGTGTTTGTTCTTGCTGCACCCTCCACCAATGTTCTAATGCTCAATGTTCAATTGATCTCCCGTGTTCATCCCTTTCACCTGCAACTCTCTTCTCTCATGACCTCCACATTTTTCTTGACATCTGAGCATGATTTGTTATGGGGGGGTTGACTTCATTTATAGTCTACATATAAGTAAAACCACCTGATGCTTTCACAGTCTGACTTAGTTCTCTGAGCACAACCACTTCATGTTCTATCCCTGTTGTTGAATAAAGCATGATTTAACCTTTCAACAATTCAAGTACCATTCCACAAAGGATATATATCACAGTGTCCTTGTCTAGTCATTTGGTGAAGGGCATTCCATGTCTTGGCTGGTTGTAAATAATGCAGCTATGAACATAGAGGTGCAAACATCTTTTTAAAAAAGCTAGTATTTTCCTATTCTTCAGTTAATACCTAGGAGAGGTATTTGCTGAATCATATGGTGTGCTCAGGGGTTACTCCTGACCCTGCATTGAGGAATTACCCCTGGCAGATCTTGGAGGGGACCATATGGGATGCTGGGGATTGAATCCAGGTCAGCTGTGCGCAAGGCAAACTGCCTACTCGCTGTACTATCTCTCTGGCTTTAGGATCATATGGCATTTCTCTGCTAGTTTTTTTCAAACAATCTCCATACTGTTTTTCATAGAGCTCCATATATCTACATTTCCACCAGTAATGTCCAGGACCTCTATCCCTCCACACCCAGTTCATTCTCTTAGGTGTGAGGTGGTATCTCTGGTGGCTTTGACTGGCATTTCCCTAATAATAAGAGATGGCAAATATTTGTTAGTGTGCCTTATCCCCTTCTTTGGAAAAATTTGCCTGTTGAGATCTTCTGCCTATTTTTGGACAGTGTTATTTGTTTTTGTTGTTGACTTGTAGGAGTTTGTTGTATATTCTTTTGTTTTGTATTGTTTTTGGGTCACACTTGGTGATGCTCATTGGTTACTTTTGACCCTGCACTCAAATTACTCCTGGTGGTGCTTGGGGACCATACAGGCTGTCGGCATTGAACCTAGGTTGGCTGCATATAAGGTAAGCTCTCTACCTGCTATATACTATCTCTCTAGCTCCACAGTTCTTTATATATTCTTGACATTACCCCCTTCTCAGGCAAATGATGTGCAAATATCCTATACCTGACAGTCACTTGCCTCTTCAGATGGGAGATGGGTGGGGTTATTTTACTATAAAAAGAAAACATACTTTAATCCATAAAGAGATGAATCAGACTTGGATCCAGGAGGAAGGAATAGCACATGAAGGAAAGAGAGAGAGAGAGAGAGAGAGAGAGAGAGAGAGAGAGAGAGAGAGAGAGAGAGAGAGAAGAGAGAGAAAAAAGAAAGAGAGGAAAGAGTTTAGCCTTGTACAATGTACACTGTGCTCTGATGGCATCAGGGATGGGGGTGGGGAACGTTAATTGGGGCCACTCCGAGAGTTAGGGTCATGGGAAGATTTGTGGAAGAGGGACATGTGAGAGGTGGTAGGATTTGGGTTAGAGCAGAAGGAAGAAAGGCACCCCAGGTGGAGATCATAAGGAGGCAATAGCCCCTGAAGTGTGGGACAGATGGATACTTCCCCACATATGGTGGGAAGGGTAGGAGGTGAGATTAGGAAGGGAGTGGAAATAGTATCAACACCAGATTGCTAGCGCTAGCTTCCTCCTATCTCCCCATGTGCTGGCCACGAAGGTCTAGCAGCCCCAAATCACTTCAAAATTTAAGAGATGCTTGGAATATACTAATTCCACAAAACCATAAAGATATGTAAAATGTCACAAAACTGAAAAATGTGCAAAAGAAAAAAAGAAATATCCTCTTAGCTCTAGTGGTTGCAGCAGTCAGGTTGAAGGCAAAGGCCTCTGGCTTATGGCTGACAAGGAATTCCTGGTTCACAGTTGGCCTGGGAAGTGTGGGCTGTAAGCGAGCTGGTCTCTGCCAGCCATCCTGCTGAGGGTGTTCACTGCTGGCTCTTGGGGCTGAGCTGTTCTCTGGGTTCCTTCCTGCGTGCATAACCAACAACTGCCACTCCCACTGTTTCTCTTGTTCTCATTTCAAGAAGGGCTTTCATTCCACTCTGCAAATGAAATTACTTAGGTCCATGAAAAGAAGCAATCAGGGGCCAGAGTGATAGCACAGCAGGTAGGGCACTTGCTTTGCATGCAACTCACCGGGGGGATGGATCTCCAGAATTCCATATGGTCCCCTGAGCACTGCCAGGAATGATTCCTGAGTACCTAAGGAACCTCTGAGCATTGCCAAGTGTGTCTCCACTCCCCCCACCTCTCCCCAACCAAGAAACAAAAGAAAGAAAGAAAGAAAGAAAGGAAGGAAGAAAGAGAAAAAAGAAATAAAGGGAAAGAAAGAAAGGATGGAAGGAAGGAAGGAAGGAAAGAAGGAAGAAAGGATGGAAGCAATCCATTTGAATCTCTTGAAATCAGACTACTGCCCCTGCCTGGAGGTTGATGCCCAGAGGGGCTGCTAAACCTGTTAACTTCCGGGATCTCTTGTTTGTTTTTTGAATTTGTGACTGTGGGTCACACCCAGCAGTGCTCAGGGCTTACTCCTGGCACTGTGCTCAGGGATCACTCCTGGCGGTGCTTGGAGGACCATGTGTGATGCAAGGATCGAACAAGGGTGGCATGTGCAAGGCAAATGCCTTAATCCTGCTCTATCTCTCCAGTTTCCTGGGTCTCTTGGGTTGAAGGAACAGCGCCTCTAAAAAGTTCTATTCTGGAGAGCTAGGGGAAGCAGCAGTAGATGCTCTGAGGTGTCTTGTTTACAGGGCTCTTTGCCTGAGAACAGACAGGGGTTCAGGTCAAGCAGGGTTCTAACTGGGAATGAACCTCATCTTCGTGGCTACCTGCAGGCTGTCTCTTGGGCCATCGAGGGTCTTGCAAGGATGAAGAAATGGGAGAGTTCAGACTTTGAAGAATCTGAGGACCAGCCCCAAGAGGACTCCTGCCCAGACTCTATGGATGGAGACCCCAACTCCAGGCCAGCTACAAACAATCCCCACATCTTCCCCAAGAACCAGAGCCAGCGATTTGGGAAATGTGACTGGGAGGGGGCTTCTGCCATGGACTGTTCACCTGAAGAAGGCAAGTTGGCATCCTGCCCGACCATAAGAATCAGTCCTGCTATCATCATCCAGAGGTCTACAGATGGCCCCACCTACTCCAGGTAAGCATGTCTGGAGCTGGACTGCTATCTCTAGTTCAGTTGGTTAAGATTCCAGCCACGGCAATCCCTGTGGTGCCTGACAGTCCTGAAGCCCAGGAGCCAGAGAGCATCTGAGTCGGCTGGTCTAGTCCTTTGAGCATCTCCCTGTCCTCAGGAGCCTTTTATTTAGCAGAGGCTATCCAGTGCTCAGACTGTGTCTGCTCCCAGCTGCTGTTTCTGCAGTCCCAGGGCCTGAGATAGGTCCTGAGTCAAGAGCAGGCTGGGTAACAGAGGAAATGGTGGTGGCAAGGGGTCCCCATAAAGGGTGGGGCCATAATGGTGGTACATTCACCATCCTGTTACATCAGATGCCCAGATGCTCAGCTGGATGGAGAGGTAACTTTTGCATCCTGCTTTTTCTTTCTTTCTTTCTTTTTTTTTTTTTGCTTTGCCTTGAGGTTTACACTCACTGATGAGTTCTGAAGACCTGGGGGCTGGTGGGAAGAGCAGAGTGTGAGATGAAGGTGTTTTCTGGCCCACAGGCTGCTGCCCCAGAATTCGATCCACGCGGGGACCAAGAACTTCCAGCTCTATGATCGCAGGAAGATCTTTGAAGCGGTGGCCCAGAATAACTGTGAGGAGCTGGAGAACCTGCTGCTCTTCCTGCAGAGGAGCAAGAAGCACCTCATGGACAGCGAGTTCAAAGGTGGCCTCGAGAGAGTGGCTCCCTGGGATGGCTGGGCTCTGGCACCGGCTCTGACCCCTTTTATGTTGCAGACCCGGAGACGGGGAAGACCTGTCTGCTGAAAGCCATGCTAAACCTGCACGATGGGCAGAACGACACCATCCCCCTGCTCCTGGAGATCGCCCGGCAGACCAACAGTCTGAAGGAGTTTGTCAACGCCAGCTACACGGATAGCTACTACAGGGGTGAGGGGGCGGCTTGCCAGGGCCCACCACCAGGAGGACACTGGCGCCTCTGGGTGAAGCCCCTGGTCCCAGGGTCTAGCCACCCCCTGCTGGCTCAGTTTCCCCTGGGTCCACCCTCTGCTGCCATGGTGTCCTTTACCCCTTAAAGTCTGGGCTCTTTCTCTGCTCTTGCCTTTGGGTGAGTTTGATCCCTTCAAGTTCTCAGTTTGTTCCCAGGGGTGTCTGGACCTGCCAGGCTTCCTTTGAGAATCCTGACTTGGCCTCCTGGGGGATGATCTAGCACCTTCCATGTGGGACCCCCGCGGGCCTGGGAGCACCAGGCCCACAACATGCATCCCCACAGGCCAGACGGCGCTGCACATTGCCATCGAACGGCGGAACATGGCTCTGGTGACACTCCTGGTGGAGAACGGGGCAGATGTCCAGGCTGCAGCCAACGGTGACTTCTTCAAGCAAACCAAAGGGCGACCTGGCTTCTATTTTGGTAGGAGACAATGTGGAGGCAGTCCCTCAGCCTTTCTTTGTTTCTTTGGGGATCACACCTGGTGGTGCTCCGGGTTACGGCTGGGGCGGCTCTCGGCAGTGCTGAGGGACCATGTTGGCCTGGAGATGGAACCGGGGCCTCCAGCCCTTCGAATCATCCCTCAGGCCTCCTGTGCAGCTCTTCGATGAGTCTGAAGGTGGCAGTGTGGGACAGAGACAGAAGGAGCTGGTGGGGGTGGGTGGGTGATCTGCACAGTTGCTGCCTGAGGCCCACCCTATGCCGCAGGTGAGCTGCCTCTCTCCCTGGCTGCATGCACCAACCAGCTGGGCATCGTGAAGTTCCTGCTGCAGAACTCCTGGCAGCGGGCAGACATCAGTGCCAAGGACTCTGTGGGCAACACAGTGCTGCACGCGCTGGTGGAGGTGGCTGACAACACGGCCGACAACACCAAGTTTGTGACGAGCATGTACAACGAGATCTTGATCCTGGGGGCCAAGCTCCACCCTACGCTGAAGCTGGAGGAGCTCACCAACAAGAAGGGGCTGACGCCGCTGTCTCTGGCTGCCAGGAGCGGGAAGATTGGGGTATGAGGGGGCTTCGGGGTCTAGGGAGGCTCCAAGGCTCCCAAAGGGGAGAGTTTTGTTTGCCTTGAAAATCTTTTAGTTTAATCTTATCAAAATATTTTTTTCTGGTTCATATGTTTTGGGTCACACCCAATGGTGTTCAGGGGTTACTCTTGGCTCTGCACTTAGGAATTACTCCTGGTGGGCTCAGGGGACCGTATGGGATGCTGGGGATGAACCCAGGTTGGCCACGTACAAAGCCAGTGTCCTACCCACGGTCTTAGCTCTATGGCCCCTGTTTTTTAAAAAAATTCGTAAGACACTGTGATTACAAAGTTATTCATAAGTGAGTTTCAGGCATACAGAGTTTCTACACCTATCCCTTCATTAGAGTCTGCTTTCATCGCCAATGTCCACAGTTTCCTTCCCCCCACCCCCCTGTCTGCCTCTACGACAGAGATTTTCTTTTAGAACTTTTTTAAATTGAATCACTATGAGATAGATGCTTACAAAGCTGTTCGTGATTGGATTTTAGTCATACAGTATTCCAGCACCCATCCCCTCCACCAGGGTACATTTCCCAGCGCCAGTGCCCCAGGTTCCCTCCCATCACCCCCCAACCTCCACCCACTGCCTGCCTCTATGGCAGACACTTCTCTCTTTCTCTCTCTCTCTCTCTCTCTCTCTCTCTCTCTGACAGACACTTATTATTAGTGAAACACCATGAGGTACAATTTTTTGTGCTTGGGTTTCAATTATACAATGATCAAGTACACCCATCCCTCCACCAGTGCCCATTTTCCACCACCCTGGATCCCAGTATCCCTCCCACACCCATCCCCCCATCCCACCCTGCCTCTGTGGCAGGGCATTCCCTTTTGTTCTCTCTCCTTTTGGGTGTTGTGGGACAGACACTTTTTAAATTAAAAGAATTTGGGGGGGTTTATAGTACTATTAAAATGGTTTCTCATGGACACAATTCAAACACCACACTTAACAAATATTTAGGCACTGTCGTTTATGGTTCTGTTACTGATAGGATTCATAGCACATTCAAGCTCCACACCCTGCCCAGAATGACCATCTCCCTCACCATTGTCACAGTGTATCCTTCCTTGTCCCAGCCCTTCCCCTGTGGTCTGCTTTCTACTGAGGGGAGAGTCTGGGTAGGGCCAGCTCACGCCCAAACACAGCCCGTGGCTGATGTCCAGCCACAGAAGGTTTCTGGTGGGTGAGGCAGTGGGAAATGGAGGGCCGGAGATGTCTTCTTCCGAGGGGGGGGGGGATTTTGAAAGCTTGTGTCTGTTCCTACTGAACCTCTGAGGATGAGGAGCCTGGGACTTTTGTTTGCTTTTTTCTTGGATTTCCTTTTTCATTTTCGTCTGACTTGAGGTTTTCTAGAATAAATCACTGCAGTCCCTTACCACGAGGATGGGGAGCAGGGGCACGGGGATGATCTATCAGGGATCTGATGGGGGTGTAGCTGGGGTTTGAGGAAGTGAGCAGCTAGATCCGAATGCACCTGCGTGGGGTGGGCCCCCTGGATACCTGGGTGGGCTTTCTCCTGGTCTGGGAAGCAGAGGTATTCCCTGAGCCGAGGTGTTGGGAGGGGGGTGGTGTTTGCTGGGTGAGTACTAAGCCTGTGACTGGGCTCAGGACTGACCTCCACCCCCACCCCGGGCAGGTTCTGGCTTACATTCTGCAGAGGGAGATCCGGGAGCCAGAGTGTAGGCACCTGTCCAGGAAGTTTACCGAGTGGGCCTACGGGCCTGTCCATTCCTCGCTCTACGACCTGTCCTGTATTGACACTTGTGAGAACAACTCGGTGTTGGAGGTGATTGCCTACAGCAGCAGCGACACACCTGTGAGTACGCTGGGCTCAGGAGGGTTCCTGTTCCTCTGTACCCCAGTGCCCCCACCCCCTATCCTTTTAAAAAAATTTCAAATTTATTTGTTTTTATTGAATCACCGTGAGACCCACAGTTACAAAGTGGTTCATGGTTGGGTTTCAGTCATACAATGCTCCAACACCCATTCCCCCACCAGTGTCCCTTTCCCACCACCAATGTGCCTCGTTTCCCTACTGCTACTGCCACCCCCGTCCCCTCAGACTGCCTCTGTGGCAGGCACTTTTCTTCTCTCTCTCTCTCTCTCTCTCTCTCTCTCTCTCTCTCTCTCCTCTCCCCCCTTTTGGGCATTATGGTTTGCAATATATGTACAGACAGGTTATCATGTTTGTTCCTTTACCTCTTTTCAGCAACAGTTCTTATCCAGAGTGATCATTTCCAACTTTCCAACTATCTTTGTCAGAGTGTCTGTCCTTTTGTCAATGAAAACTTGCTGCCTGGCGCTGAGGCCTGATGGCTCATATCTCATTTATTCTCTCTGAATACTTTAGTCACACAATAGGTATCAAATGATGTCCCCAGGACCAGAGAGATGACCCAAAGGGCCAGAGCACGTTCTTTGCATGTTTAGCCCTAGATTCAATTCCTGGCACCATTACGGTGTCCTGAACAACACCAGGAGTGACCCCTGAGCACTGAGCCAGAAGCAGTCCCTGAGAATCAGGACCTCATACATGGGACACATAGGAGACTGTGTCATGACAAAGCCTCATCCCCTGTTCCTCTTGTCCTTCCTTCCTTCCTTCCTTCCTTCCTTCCTTCCTTCCTTCCTTCCTTCCTTCCTCTCTCTCTGCCTCCCTCCCTCCCTTTCTTTTTCTTATTTTTGGGCCACATCCTGCAATGCTCAGGGCTTACTCTGGGTTTTGTGCTCACGGATCACTCCTAGTGGGCTCAGGGGACCAAAAGGGGTGCCAGGGATTGAACCTGGATTAGCTGTGTACAAGGCAAACTCCCTACCTGCTGTACTATCTCTCTGGTTCCCTCTTGTTCTTTTTCTAAAGTGATGCTCTGAGTCCCTGAGATCAACCTGGGACCTTGAGTCTGTGCTCTGGGTGATAAGGAGCTTCTGTGCTGTGTCCCACACAGAGTCCAGGGGTGGGAGGGCCTTGCTGTGCTTTTCCTTGTCTGTACCCATCTGGCTGCTGTGCTGAATCCAGACCTCTGGCTTAGAGTAGGGAGCCAGGTAGGTCCAGATAGGAAATGGCCTCAAAAAGAACTGAGGTACTTGAGGCAAGAAAAAGGCCTTGGTTCATGGCTGCCATTGTTGCATCTCTGAAGGCTCTCAGGGGGCTAGGGTGCAGTTTGGGGGCCCTGAGTAAGAGCCACATGCCTGGCAGAAAGAAGAACAAATCTTCTCCAGAGAGTAAGTCTTCCCCACAGTTAGAGTTTCTCTATAGGTTTCTTGAGGCATCAGGGAGTTTTTCATTCCTGAAGGTATTCAAGAAGACACTGAAGGACCAGTGCAATAGTATAGTGGGGAGGCTTTTGCCTTATACATGGCTGACCGGGGATCCATCCCTGCATCCCATATGGTCCATCTAAGCAGTGCCAGGAACAATCCCTGAGCACAGATCCAGGAGTAACCCCTGAGCATCACTGGATATGGCACTGCCCCCAACTCCTGCCCCCCACGCCCCTCCCCCCAAGACACTCAGCAGAGGCATTGCTGGGGTAGATTGGGCTGCAGGTGTGGCTTGGGTTCACTGGCCTAGAAAAGCTAAATGACATGATTTGGGTTCATCCACCCAAGAGATGCTTGAATTTTATTTTATTATTATTATTATTATTATTTTTTTGCTTTTTGGATCACACCCAGCAAACCTCAGGGGTTACTCCTGGCTCTGCACTCAGGAATTACTCCTGGCGGTGCTTGGGGGACCAAATGGGATGCTGGGAATGGAACCTGGGTCGGATGCATGCAAGGCAAATGCCCTACCCGCTGTGCTATTGCTCCAGCCCCAAGAGATGCTTGAATTTTAACTAAGATCTCCTTTGACCCTAAACCGTACACGAAATGGTGCTATTCCAGGCACTCTGTTCGCCCACTCCAAAAAGACTTCTTGATTCTCTTAACTCTTGTGTAGGTAATCATCTACCTTGCCGGAAGGATGAGAGCTGGAAATGGGAGATATTAGGATCCCAAGAACCCTTCTCTGCCTGCCTCCATCTTCTCTCGAGTGGCCTCATGCCTGGCTGGCTGTGCCTAGATTGGCCTCCTTCCATTATTGAGGGAATAAAAAGGATGAGGCTCTTGGGACAGGTGTTAGAGATAATGGGCATAGAGTGTTGGGCAAGAGTTGTGAGCCCCTAAGAGTCAGCAGGCACTCATGGTTGCTGGTCCACTTTCATTCCTTGTCTGTTCTCTGTAAGAGCCTGGGCCTGCGCTTTGGGCCTGCGACCCCCCAAGCCTGGACCAGGTATGGTGGGTGAATATGAGGGTGTGAGTGTGGGCATGCAAGCTGGTTCCTAGTGGGGAAGTGAGACTCACCTCTCCCTTTCCCAAACCAATTATTTAATCTTATTGTTTTAAATTCTATTTTTCTTTTGGGTGAGGAGGGTGGGAGTGGGGACACACCTGGCAGCGCTCAGGGCTTACTCCTGACTCTGTGATTAGAGATCACTCTTGGTGAGGCTCGGAGAGATCATATGTTGTGCCAGAGATCGAATTCAGGTCAGCCACATGCAAGGCAAGTGCCCTATCCACTGTGCTATCACTCTGGCCCTACTTTTTTCTTTTTTTTGCCTTTTGGGTCATACCCGGCAATGCACTGGGGTTACTCCTGGCTCTGCGCTCAGGGATTACCCCTCACGGTGCTCAGGGGACCATATGGGATGCTGGGAATCGAACCCGGGTTGGCCGCATGCAAGGCAAACGCCCTACCTGCTGTGCTATTGCTCCAGTCCCATCTGGCCCTACTTTTAAAGCATTTTTTTTTAAATACTTCTGTTTGCTCCCCTCAGAATCGCCATGACATGCTCTTGGTGGAGCCACTGAACCGACTCCTACAGGACAAATGGGACCGATTTGTCAAGCGCATCTTCTACTTCAACTTTTTTGTCTACTGCTTGTACATGATCATCTTCACCACAGCAGCCTACTACAGGCCTGTGGAAGGCTTGGTGAGGTTCTGGGCTCAGGGCTTGGAGGAATAGGGAAGAGGTGAAGGACCTGAGTCTCCAGATTTAGGCTGAGCCCTGGACCTCCAACTCTCTGGAGACAAGGAAGGGTCCTCAGGAGGTCCCAGTCTGCCCAGCACTGGCCTTTCCTCAGGTCACCCCAGTGACCGATGTCTCTGCTGTTCTCAGTCCAGTTCTCATTTCCCCATTAGCTAGTCCCTCAGCCTCAGGATTGTGTTAGGCTAAGTGTATTCAGTCACTGAATGAAAAGGGGAAGCATTAGGTCAGAGAGGACTAGGGAATGAGAGGTCACGATGCAACTGTCCCCTGCACCAGATGTCCAGAGCATCATGGGACAGTAGGAAATCGTGCCTGTCCCCTATTGGTTCTCTCATTTGCTCCTAATTTCTATCCTGGCCATAAAGATGTTTTTATTGTTTTGGCTGCATCAGGTGGTGCTCAGGGCTTTCCTCTGGGTCTGTGCTCAGAGATCACTCCTGGCAGTGCTCAGGGGGCCATATGTAGTGCTGTGGATCAAACCCAGGTCAACCACATGAAAGGCAAGTGACTTTCCCACTGTACTACCTCTCCAAGTCTGGACAAAAAGTTTTATTTATTTATTTATATATTAAAATTTTTTATTAAATCACTGTGAGGTACAGTTACAAGGTTTTATGTTTGAGTTACAATCATACAATGATCAAACACCCATCCCTCTGCCAGTGCACATTCCCCACTACTAATCTCCCCAGTATACCCCCTTTTCCCATCCTCCCCCTGCCTCCATGGCAGACAATTTCCCCCAAACTCTCTTTCTGCTTTTGAGCATTATGGTTTGCAATACAGATACCGAAAGGTTATCAAGGACATAAAGTTTGGAATGCTTCTTCTGGGTCAGACCCTGGGTCAGCCATCAGATAAACTTGAGACCAGATTTTTCCTCTGCCAGGAGTCATGAACCATGCATGAGTTTCCCAAATTTTTTTTTCCATTCAATACCCAAACAGTGAATATGCTGCCTTTATTTCCAGGGTGCCTTGTGCATCAAATTGAGTTTTAAAAAAATTCAACTTTCCAAGGTGAAACATGATTTCTATTCACCTAGTAAGGTTATTTAGCAACTTGGTTTTAAGATAAACAAGAAAAGCGCTAAGAAGAGAAGCTGGTACAGTAGAGCTCATGCAGTGTCAAATGTCAGCTTGAAGGAATCCAGTTGATGATGGCTGAAAGTGTGTGTGTGTGTGTGTGTGTGTGTGTGTGTGTGTGTGTGTGTGTAATGTTTCTCCCTCCACATTTGTAGAAACCTTGACAGCCTTGGGAGGCTAGGCTAGGCAGGGACTATGGAAGCAGTAGGAAACTCATGGTTTGGGGTTGTTAGTGTGCCCGCACTTCTGCCCTCATGCTCCCTGCAGCATGGAGACAGCATGATGCTGGAAGGATGCTCTGTTTGGCCCTGGAGGCTGCCACTTTGGGAACCAGCTCCCACAATGTGGCCTCCTGGCAGGTATCCCTCTAGTAATGTCTTGTCTTTATTTGTGTCTCCCTGGACTGAGGCGGAGCCTCCCAGACAGGAGTTGGGACTCCCTCTCAGGGCTGCGTACCTGCTCAGTGCTTGTCAAACCAATGCTGGAACTAAGGAGCAGCATCACTAACTTCTCTGCACCTTGCAGCCTCCCTTTGAACTGAAACACACCGTTGAAGACTATTTCCGAGTCGTTGGAGAGATTCTTTCAGTGTTGGGGGGAGTCTACTTTTTTTTCCGAGGGGTAAGCACTTCTTTCCATGTTGTGAGTTTCTGCTGCCATTGTATGAAGAAGTCATGAGGCTAACTGGGTGCGCCCTCACACCTGAACTCACTGGACAGGCAGTGGCCCTGCTCAGTGGTGGAGAGGGTACAGGTGAGGAGGCGGGATCTCAGGCTTTCTCAGACTTTCAGAGATTGGGGGTGGCGGTCCTGCTTAGTGGATTCCCACAGGCCCAGAGTCAGGGTTTATACATGACAACTCATTACAGAAGAAGAGGGGATGCCTATTAAGGGACTGGATCTTGACCCATGACTGATTAATAAATGGAAATAATTCATTGCAGTTAAGAATAATAAAATATTTGGTCTATAGTCTACTTTCAGCATGCTTCTCCCATCCTGGGAGAGAGAACAAAAGGGAATACCTGCCACAGAGGCAGGGTGGAATGGGGGGGGGGGTGGGGGGTGGGAGGGATACTGGGACCCGTGGTGGTGGAAAATGGGCACTGGTGGAGGGATGGGTGTTTGATCATTGTATAATTGAAACCTAAGCACAAAAATTTGTAAATCTACAACTGTACTTCATGGTGTTTCACTAATAAAAATTTTAAAAAAATGGTTAAAATGGTAGAAGTTATATATCTATTCTACCAAATAAAGATAAATATTTATTAAGTTGGAAAAAAGAATAATAAAATAAATCTGCATATATTGGAACAATTTTAACAGAAAACTCATAATACATATTCCTAGGCTAGTCTTCAAATAGATCAGCAGGTGCCAGAGATCTAATGCAGAGCCTTAGACGTGTAAAGCCTGGGCTCTACTGTGGAGCTACATTCCCAGCTAAAATGCTGTTCCTGGAGCGAGTTCAAAGGACCCAGCTATATAATTTTTGTGACCCTAGGGATTGAACACAAATCCTCCCACATCTGAACTACATTCCCAGTCAGTCTCTTCGCATAGGGGACCAACTATCAATAGATGAGTTAGAAATCTGAGCGCAGATTTTGAGATTATTGTGCTTTCCTTCCAAATCTTTTTGATCTGAACTATACCCCACCATGATTTTTTCTCACTATCTTCCCTTTATGGAGTTTTTTTTCAGATGGTCAGACTTTCTTCACATAAACAATTCTCTTTATTTTTGCATGCACAGTGATGATATCACAAAGTCCAAAGTCACAGCAGGTAGGGCAGGATGCAGAAAGCAAGCCTGGTCAACACAGGATTAACCAGAGGGAGGGAGAGGAAGAAGTGTGTGTCTAGGAGAATTCAGTGGGTCCCAGAATGTTCATCTGGTAAGTTCCTATCATGGAGAGTGCCTATTGGTTTTTACTGTAATCCGTGCTTGAAGGAAATGAGGGATAAAAGCACAAATTAAAAAGAAGAAAAAATAGCCCAATCCCATCATTCAAACCAAACAATTGATAAATGTTTTGGATTTCCTTTTCTGTTTTTGCTTCTAGGTATGTCTTTCCACTTTGTAGTTTACAGAATTTCTCCTGACTCAGTTACATAGCATTTCCCCACTAGCCAGTCCCCTGCTCATCCTCATAAGCATCTGGGCATTCATGCTGTAGTGCTGCTGTTTAGAAAGCATTCTGTGTGCTTGCTCACCATTAACCACTCTTAATTATTTTTCCTTTTACTCTCTTTACCTGCAGATTCAGTATTTTCTGCAGAGGCGGCCGTCACTGAAATCCTTGTTTGTGGACAGCTACAGTGAGATTCTATTGTAAGTGATGTTTGGACTTTTCTGCCTCAGTAGTAGAGAGCATCTTTTAGCATGGTCTAGGCCTAACAGACATGTGATTAGTTGTTAATTGTTCATTAAGAGTTTGGTGGGTAAATGGACACAGAGGGTTCACCTTGTGCCAGATATTCACTAGATATTGGGGAATGACAGACCCATTCCCAGACTCTTGGGGTGTTGAGTCTGAGTTATATATTCCTCATTCATTTTCCTTATCCATCTGCAATTCACTGAGTTGGCACTGGAATATTGAAATAAAATAGACTTGGTTCCTGTCTTAAAGAAATTTTCAATCTTAGAGCAGAGGTTTTTTCAGCTTTATGGGCATTTTGGACTGCATGATTTTTTTTTTGTTATTGTTTTGGGGTCACACCCAGAGCTTAGGACTTACTCCTAGCTCTATGTTCAGAGATCATTCCTGATGGGGCTTGGGGGACCATATGGGATGTTGGGGATCAAACCCACTTAAGGTGCATGTAAGACGAGACCCACTGTCTATTGTTCCAGATCCTGGACTGCATAAATCTTTGATGGAGGGATGCTGTCTTGTACATTGTTAAATGTTTAGCAGAATTTCTTATCTCTACTCACTAGATACCAATTGCCCTTTCCCTATTTTCCTGACTTAACAATTAAAATCACTTGATCACTTCAGTTGACATCCCCTTACTCATTGACTTGCTCGAGTGGGTGCCAGTAATGTCCCCATTCATCCCTGTCATGTGCTAGTATAGCCCAATGGCATCTACTCGCTCCAGGAACACAAAGAGCCTCAAACCAATTGTTCAGGGTCTTGACAAAGAAGTCTGACTATCTCGTAGGTGGGCGGCCAGGCGATCTTTTGACGTCCCATGGAATCCAGTAGGTAACAGCTCTAGTCCAGTGGTCGTCTCCAAATCACATTACGTGTCCGGCCCATCTGATTTTTGATGCCTTGGCAAACGAGACAGCGTCCCTGATTCTTGATCGTCAACAGAGATCATCAACAGAGAACTCTGGATCTTTCTCTCACTTGAGTGAAGAGTGATACTCCAAGCATAGCTCTTTTGATTCCTCTTTGGGAGACCCGAATAGCATTCTCATCCTGTTTTTGTAGGGCCCAGGTCTCTGAAGAGTATGTTAATTCAGGAAGAACAGTGGAATCAAAGAGTTGTGCCAGAGCCAGAGCTTCTTTGTCCTCTTAGCTATTTCTTTGATGCTCCTGAAGGCATTCCAAGCCACTCTCTTCCTCCTGCGCATTTTAGGTGCCAGGTCATTCGTCATGTTGAGTTCTAGACCTAGGTACACATAACTGTTGCATTCGGAGATGTTCATTCCATTGAGAGCGGATGGAACACCAGGAACGAGACCGTTTCTCATGAACATTGTCTTCGTGAGATTCAGCTGTAGTCCGACCTTTCCACACTAACAATTAAAAATAGCTCCAGATATTAGCTGAATTGATACCCCCATTACCTCATTATCCCCCTGCTTGAGGGTGTGTATTCAAAATCTTAGAAATCTCTACTTTCAGGGAAGACAGACAAGCCAAAACACAACTTCTGGGGCTGTGAAGGAACAAAGGGACATTAGTGGAGGGAAGTCAACCCTAATGGTTGTGATTAGAACACTGTACACCTAAAACTGAATGATGAATAACTTTATAACTCATGGTGCCTTAATATTAAACAATTTTAATGTAACCCCTCCCAACTCACACAACTTAAAGATAACATGGATATCACAGGTATTTCCTTTCTGCATAAAATTAGTCAGGGCAAAGAGTTCCAACTGGCTTTCAGATGAGACAGGATCCTTCTCCTGAAACCTGTACTCATGGTCCTTGCTCTGATTCTCAATCTTCTTTATACTTAGGCCTTGCTCTTCTTTCCCGGGAAATGGAACTGGAGTTACTTTCTTATTCTACTGTGGTTAGTGTGTTCCTAAAACTAACAATCCCCATCATTTCACTATAATATTGAGATATTAACCTATTATCCCCAAAGGGTTGAGTCAAGCACATATTGATAAGGTTTGCTGATTTGTTTTATAAGAAAGCATTGTTCTCCAATATAGTGCTATGCCAATATGCTTAAATGTTAAATTTCTTTTTAACATTCTCACAATGTCTTTTGGATTAAAAATTTAGGAGTAATAAAAGGCTTAGAGCTCCCTGGTCATCTCTTCCCATTCCCTATGTCCCTTCTTAGGGACAACTGCTGTCTATCTGCTCTTCTAGCTATTTCTTCTGACATTTGTGTGGTTGATGAAGATTTAACACCTTTTAACTGACTTTCCTTTGCTTCCCATCCTTTCGTCTTTCAACATGGTTTCAAATTATTTTTGTGTGCTGGATAGTACAAGGGTTAAGTCAGTTGCCTTTTATGTAGCTGACCTTGGTTCATATAAATCCCTAGCATCATCCTTCGAGCACCACCAGAAGACACTCCTGAGCACAGAACCAGGAATGTCCCTGAGATCCACTGGGTGTGATCCAAACCCCTCCCTTAAATAATTTTTGTTTTATTAAGGATTCAGGATTTATATTCTGGATACCTATGAATTATTTATAATCAAGCTTTTTAATAAATTGTCTTGCTTTCTGTTTCTCCTACACTCTAAATGCCATCCTTCTCTTGCTCCTTAGAATCTCTCTCTCTCTCTCTCTCTGGTTTTTGGGCCACACCTAGTGTTCTAGGACTTACTTCTGGCTCTGCACTCAGGGAACAGTCCTAATGGGGTCCAGGGGACTATATTGGGTACTGGAGAGCAACCCAGATTGACCACATATAAAGCAAATATCCTAACCACTGTACTATCTCTCCAGCCCTTTTTCTCTTCTCTTTTGGGTTAGCTCTTTTTTTACTTTTTTAAAAAAATTTTATTTTCATAAAGTTATTCACAATAATTGATTACATTCAATATTTCAACACCAATCCCACCACCATTACATCTTCCTACCACCATTCATTCATTCATTTCATTCATCATCCTGTTAATCGTCGATTGCCTCGAGCAGGCCCCAGTAACGTCTCTTTCATCCTAGCCCTGAGATTATATTCAAGGCTTTTTAGGAGAATGAGACCCATCATTGTTACTGGTATTTGGCATATTTGGTGCGCCACGGGGAGTTTGCCAGACTCTGCCCTGTGGGCAGGCTATATTCGATATTTCAAATTTTCACCATTATTTCAAATTTTTCCATCACCACTAAAACCTGCCTCACAGTAAGATGCTAGATAATTTATTTTGTATTTCTTGTTATGAATAGCATGAGATGTCACGCAGCTGTGAAAGCTGCCACACGCTCCTGGAATTCTAAAATTTTAAATAATTGAGGGAGTATGGTGCCACCAGCAGGTCAATCTCTACCTGTGAGGTGAGTGCATCAGCAGCCTGATGGCACCGTCAGACTTTCAGATACCCCAAAATTGCTGCTGTGCCTTTGGCCAGACCCCAAAAACTTGGGGCAAAGTTTACTAAGAAGGTAAATAACCAAAAGTTAGGTATGTGGGAGACACACCCACAAACCACCTCTGGCTCAGCTATATAATTGGAGGCATGACCTCTTTGGTTCCTGATCGAACTGTTTAACAGCCATGATCCCAGAGACTCAGAAACGAATCTCAGAACCCAAAGGCTTTTGGCAGAAATGCGTCCTGTTCCTGCAGTAGGCTACTGGCACTGGACCACTCCAGGTGGGAATAGATTTCGTGCCTTGGCCTGTTCCCCCTGGTGGCCTGGTGACCGCCATCCTCCAGAGGCCACTGGACAGTCAGGTTTGGGCCTGCAGTGACGAGACACATGGGACCTCACCAGATGGGGTTGGAACTGGCCCTTTCCTCCCCATCTCAACGAGACCCTGAGTCGCTGCATACAAAATGCCTCTCTGGCTCCTGATCAAGCTGCTTAACGTCACGACCCCAGAGACTCAGAAACAAATCTCAAAACCCAGCGACTTTTGGCAGAAATGCATCTGGACTGCATACATGGTGGCCACCGTCTCAGAGCTTATTGAAAAGCCAGGTATGAGCCGGCGGTGATGGGGCAACTGCAGTCTCATTGGAAGGGGGGCAGTACCGGCTCATCCTTCATGCCCTACCGAGGTCACGAGTTGCCCCCCCACAAGCGGCTCTCCAGCACGGCCATGGCTCAAGAGGCAAAAGGACTTAATCCAGAGCCCGGCAATTGCAGCAGAAAAGTGAATGGACCATGCATTAAACTACGGTGCCATACCTCCCCGGGAGGGAAAGGGTGTTGCTCCCTTCTGCCTCCCCTCCTCCCCCCGCAGCAAGGTAGCCACCACCTCAGCTTATTGGAAAGCCAGGTATGAGCCAGCAGTGATGGGGCAACTGCAGTCTCATGGGAAGGGGGGTGGTTCCGGCTCGTCCTTCATGCCCTACCGAGGTCACAAGTTGCCCCCCACGAGCGGCTCTCCGGCACAGCCATAATACCAGACGCACAGAAACCAATCTCGTAATTATCTGGCTCTTTGCAGAAATTCAAAATCGCGGCCGTGTGACATTATATGATTCTTATAACCAGCTATAGAAAACAAAGTATTTCACAATGCCTTTTCTGCCATTTTTATTGTGGTGGGGGAATTCTAAACAATAATGCTGCATCTTTTGTTTGAAATAATGAATGTAATCAATGTAGAGAAGAGTTTAGTAGAAATCATCTGCCTCACAGGCTTTGGGAGGGGTGGGAGGGGGGTATATTGGGTTTCTTGGTGGTGAAAAATGAGTACTGGTGAAGGGAAAGGTGTTTGTTTGATCATTGTATGACCGAGACTTAAACCTGAAAGCTTAGTAACTTTTCCCACAGTGATTCAACAAATAAATATAAGAAGAAAAAAAAATAAATAAAATTATGAAAAAAAGTAAGGTGGAGTTCATGTCCAATTCAATCAGCTAATCAGTGGCTGAATAAATAGCAGTACTCCTACATAAAAATAAAATAAAATAAAATAAAATTTTAAATAATTGGGGTCCAAAGAAAAC